AGTCGATCCCCCTATAAGATCATTGATTTTTCCGTTTTATCTGAATTACATGTTGTACGAGTCACTTAGATTTTACAAATATGTGAGCCGTTCACAGCCCGGCACACGTATTTGTAAAATCTAAGTGACTCGTATAATGTATATGTATATTTCATCTTCTGATAAATGCAATCGTAATTTTAGACATTTTTAAGCAATTCTCCAGAATATATATTGTAGCAACAGCTTATATAGTTAGTAATAATTTAATAATTATTTCTTCACAACTATCTTAATGCACTCGAATTTCGATATAACTAGTTTTATTGTTATAAAATAAAACACGTTTGAACAGATCATTTTTATACATGTTATATACATAACATTTCAGTGCCTGTGATTTATTGTTGGGCTGCAATTTGAAAAAAATTGTAGATTTATTGATTTATTAACTCCCACTGTCGTCCGTCCGTCCGTTTTTCTTGAATCTCGAGAAAGAAGTTAGATAAATACTGAGACCAGATGTGGAAACCATTAGAGTAAGATGCTTTGAACAAGTATAAACGCACTTTCGATGCAAACCGGAAGTCAGGTGACAGCGAAAAATAGAAATAATTATACCTTGCAGAAAATATATACTATTAAAATGAGTAAGTATAATTAAAGCTGAGTAGAAAATAGTCGACGCTGTATATGAACGAATATAAAATTACAATATAAAACGTATGAAAATAAGCTTTAAAGGACTTTAGTTACGTTATTTATCGACTTTTGTAGTTATAAAATAGTCTGCAATAAGATTTTATGTTTTACTTCATGTTAGTATATTTAAATTTAATTTTAAAAATAAATAAATATATTCGGCTGCAGTTAGATGTGTTTTACTACAAATATTTTTCGATGGGGAGGAATAGAAGAAGGGAAAAACAGAATAAAAACGAGTTTATAAATGGAAGACAATGCTAAATTTTTAAATGTATATGAGTTTTTTATGGAAAAATTTTATATATTTTAGATTAAATCAAAAATATATATGAATTTTTGTTATAAATGTAATCGTTTATATAGATAATAAAAATGTCGAAAAAAAATTGGAAAAATCGACGGAAGAGGAATGTATATATATATATATATACACCACATTCTGCATTTACACCGACTTTTGGACCCTGATCTGTCTTCTAAAAATACAACGAAGTTTATGTAGTTTTAAAACTATCGTGTATGTGATTTAAATATATATGTTTTACTCAGATTAATTAAAATTTACTTTACATAAAATTTTACATAAAATATATAATAAGAATACAGTATGTCAGGGAGTACTCTTTCATATCACTAAATCATAACTTGTATGTTATTTGCGTGTATGATGTAGTACATTGTTCCTAAAGTTTTGAAATGATTGTAACTATACCTGTGTAGAAACATTTTAAGTAAGTAAGTTTGCATATAATATAGAATTAAATATTTTTTACATGGATGAAAATAGCATTGATTTACTTTTGTATAATCAACACATTCACAACTACAGTTTGTCCTAATTATAAGAATCGGATACTCTAAGTTTATTTATTATATCTGTTATATTTCTTATCAGCTATTCTTATTTTTTGCTATTCTAATTATATAGTAAATGGGAGCTCACACTTGAATATATTTTATAGTAAATAACTTATTTCTAATATATTGTACATTGGAAATATTTAGCCTACACTGAATGTATTATTTTATAAATTCATTCAAAATTATCTGAGTGTCATATTTTATCCAATACTGTATATTGAATAAAATGGTAATAGTAAAAGTTCAAGGTAAAATAATTTCTTTTCATATACAGTCGACCCCCCTATAACACGGTAGATATGTTCCTGTTTTTATGAATCCAGCTTCTAGAAGTCCAGCCAATCACAGCCCGGCAAGTATGCACTTTACGGACTACGGCTGTTTGAAAGGTTTTCTTCCATAAAATTAATCGATTCTAGACTAATTCGACTCAACATTTCCAAAATACGAATAATTTTTTGGGAATAATCCATATAAACTATGCCATAAACAAAAAATTGTAGGATTGCTTACCGAGTGTGCACCGTTCGACTACGCCGCCGTTGCTTAAGCTTGTTTTCTTCGTGGAGATTGTCATCGAATGGCGCTCGCGTGCTTCCTAATAAATTATTTTTTTGCGAAAAATTCATTGAACTTTAGAGACATCATTAATATAAATATAGTTTTTATGGACGTTAAATAATAAATGGTTTTTGGAAGGTCCGCTGCTCGTTTAAACTCAACGGTTTGTGCAATCCTGTTGTGACACAAGTCGGCGATGACGTTTTACCGAATTATAGGAGATTTTTAGCATGTTTGTACAAATACTGTCGCAAATTTTTCGCCATGATATAGGAATCCGAACTATAGGAACCCGTGTTATAGGGATTCGATTGTAATTAATTCTGATTATTTATCAATTTCCAAATTATTCGCTTCTTTGCATACTATATATTCTGTATCAAGAAGTATATTAATAATATAAGTTAATGTAAAGTTATTTTTAAAAAACTTATAAACGAAGCTTGCTATTGTTTTCTATGCAAATTAAACTATCTTCGTGTCTTGATATTGCCTAGCAATGGTCGCGTGGTTAAAACCACTAAACACCGGTAGCAGGTCATAAATTTGTGCTTGCCACGTGGAGTTTTCCGGGTTTTATTCACATTAATAACATCTAAATCGGGGCCAGTTTTTTATGAAAGATCTCCCGGGAGGCACTCCCCTCGGCAGATCGCCGATGCGTCGCGTTGCCATAACCAAATAAACCTAATTCTAAACTTTATATCATGATAAAAAGTTAGTAAAATCTGCATTTATGCTAATAAATGGTGACACTGCTCTGATATATGCGTAGATACTCTGGCATTTTAATTAAAGACGTGTACGAAGGACCACAGCAGGTTACATACAATTTCCTTTCCACGCTGTTGTTGTTTTCTTAATTATAAATAAACCTTTTTAGTAAAAACATATTCATTCATTTATTTATTATGTGCAAAATTTTTGGAATATGTTTTCTCTGTTGTTTTTATTTCATCGCGTGTTTTTCATTTCCTTTTACTATTATTATTATTTGGACCGTTCATAATTAAAGTGGTGTAAGTGGAATTTCGTAAAAAATTGGGAAAGTAATCGTCACAATTCAATCGCAAACACCATATCTCCACAATAAAATATTTCATCTTTAATGTTAACTGCCCGTTGAATCCCATAGGATCAAAACTACCACTGCAACATCTCTTAATAGATAGGTTGCGGCACATTTTATTTTAACACAAAACATAAAAATTTCTGTTAAAGAACACCGATATTACATAGGTTGCGGCCGACGTTTTCATCGCGAAAACGTGAACGTCGGACGTTCAGCGCCGCCTTCCTGTAAGCCTAGAAGTCTGACAATGGCGTTTGGAACTTCAGTGGAATCATGCTCGACGTTCCAAACGCCATTGTCAAACTTGTAGGCTTACAGGAAGGCGGCGCGGAACGTCCGACGTTCACGTTTTTGCGATGAAAACGTCGGCCGCAACCTATGTAATATCGGTGTTCTTTAACAGAAATTTTTCTGTTTTGTGTTAAAATAAAATGTGTCGGAATTATCATTTCAAGCGACTCCTAAAGGTTAAGAAAGAATTGGGAACTGCTTTCAGGATTCTTCTGAGTGAACGGAATCTAAACTTATCTCATTCCAATCATCAAGCAGCTCACATCAATTGGTTCTAATCTTCCTTAGGAAGGATACACATGGCAATACGACCATACAAGTTCTGCTTGTGTTTCAACGCATCCATGCAATATTCAAGATGGCGAATGATGCCCACGTTGTCTTTGTCGTCGTTTTTACAAAATTCGATTTTTTACAGTTCGTTTAATTTACCAGAAGACGCCCTCGAAGATAATTTCATCAAAGATTTTGAATTAGAGATACAGTATTCACTAGAATCGAGGAAGAGTTGATACTCAAAATACATAAGATCTTTCGATGAGCAATACAATACGATTTCCGGTAAGATTGGTTTGTTTTGTCATTCAATTAAATTCTATGGTTACCTGTGTGGATTTTGTGTTAAATGCATTACCTTCTCATTTTTTTATCATTTATCTCAGTTAGCTGCGTCGAACTTGCCGCCATGAATAACAATTTTAGTCGTTATTAACATTTGCAATATTTATAAAGACTCGGCTTTACCCTCAAAATAAGCTTTTTTCCATTTTATAACAATTGAAAATAAAAATAAAAAATTAAATAAAACACATTAACATCTGACACCGCACAGAGTTTTAAATGTTGACAGAAAAATTAAGCAACTAATTGCTAGATTTTTTTCTTCTGTACTTTAAAATATTGAGACAACGAACTTTTAAAAAATTAAAAATATAAATTTGTTTGTTTACTACTGAAGACATTTAAAGATGCATTTAATTATTTTTTTTTCATCTGTAGATAAAGTTTTTGGTTATAGAAACGTGTCTATACTCCATTATAATATTTCCTTTGTAGTAGATTATGTTAAAATTCTTACCGATGAGATATTTGAATATTTGTATTCGATATTAGAAAGCTTCTTTATAAAATATACATATTTATACACTTTATTTTTTACATTCATTTCACAAATTTCTATTGGTTCTACTAAACATTACCAATTTAGCCAGTAATGCGCCAATTTAAAATGATCTTGCTATTTGCGTAAATTTTCATACAATGAATAATTCATTTATCATTTTAGAGTTCAACATATCGCTAGTGTGGTATTATATAAATTTATTATGAGCAAGACAGTATATTACCTTAATTATATGTTGTTTAAATGTTTATAAAGTTAAATTAATTTGAAACACAAAATTTTAAAATGTTTTTTATTCTAAATATAATCTTACATTCTTTACATCTCGTTAAATGATACACAATAAATGAAATCTTTAACATAATATACTTTAAAAAACAAATTTTATTTTTATCTTTTAATTTGATGAGATTATATAAATATAAATTCAACTGGATACGATTCATAAAAATATTATTTATATTTCATTTCTACTGAAGTAAAGTATAAATATATTAAAACATGAGAAAAATATTATATTCGGGTTCATCACCAATAGCATCTGTAAAGATTATTTAGTATATAAATTAATAATTTCAATAATTTAATTTGTATATTTACTAATTATTTTACTTACCTAATTAAAGAAATCTTACTTTTTAAAATGAAGCTTTAACTTCAATTCATTTTTATTATTGTACGTTCACTATTATCTGCAGCAACATTATACGAAATAGAATTCTGATAATAAAAGGTACATTTTTATAATTATAATCATCTTTTGTTAATTTTAAGATAATAAGTTTATTTTACTTAAGATGATCGTGATTAGTATTATTTGCTACAGTAACCTGCTTACAAAAGGAAGAGAAACATGGTAATTGTAAACAGTGAACATTTATAAAATTATTAATACATAAATTTTAGAATATTAAAATTATTTCCATTAAACATATAAACCTGTTTATTGTTACTTTATTTTCTATATTTTAGTATTAATATGCTGGATAGCTATTAGTTTGCTATTATCGACTATAGAAGATGACTACATTATTAAGTAATTAAATGATCAACAAAAATAAGAAATTATAAGAAAATTATTTTAAAAGATTACAAATTATTTTAATAGATTGCAAAGAAAAAATATAGTTATATTAATAAAAATTATAACAAAATGAAAATTTTTAGTACATATGAATAATTGTTTATTGTCATATCGCCACAATGTCAGTCTGCGAGTTTTCATCGCAATGCTTTCACTTTTAATAGTGTCTTGCCCCTGTAGATCATACATTTCCTGTTAAAAATAAAGACTTGCCTGTCATGTATATAGAACTTCGTACAGAATAAAAATTTTATATTCAAATAACGTGACTTCCGTTCTAGAACGGAGGTTTGTCTATAGATAATCGCGGCCTCCTGTCCCTGAGGTTCTCGACTTTCATCCATCTAACATCATTTTCGAGATCAAGAGCGACAAACAGACACACACTGACCGACAGGCTGACGACAGTAGTAATTTATAGTTGCACAACTTTTTCAAATTGAAGCCAAATTGAAATAACATAAAAATATGAAATCCTAGAAAAGTTTTAAATAAATTATCTAATACTCATTTAAAATGTATATGTTGATAAAAAAAAGGATTTATAGAATTACAAAGAAAAATAATAATAAGGATATTTATTATATATTTATATAAATCGTTATTAAAAAATAAATATTAAAAACAAAATAAATAATAAGCAAAAAAGAAAACCAAAATTCGAGAGAAATATAATATAATAAAAATATTTACAGTAAATTTGAAAAAAGCTGTAAAGATTATAATATGCATTTAATACAGGAATAGACAGAATTAATCAAAAGATAAATAGTAAAAAACAAAAACAATAAAAATAAAGTAAAAAAAACAATCTGAATGAAGATAATTTTCTATGCAAATTACAATATAAATATATGTCCGGAGAACATACGCTATAATGAAGAAACAAATATGATGTTACGGATAAGATTAAAAGAATGTATACCATCCATTAAATATAATTGTGTGAATTACGCGACAGCAGACCATTGTAAATCCCAAGAAAGCAAGATTAATATAATGTAAAAATATTAACGAATATGAAGAAAAAAATTACATGAAATATGGCTACCAAGTTTAAAGACGTTTAGGCCTAAATGCTTGCCTGCTGAAGAGGTAATGCCGATACAGAATTAAAACCGAAATTTAAATAAAATTTTAAAAGTCACGGTAAGATATTCAAATATTTTAAAAGTTATAGAAACTTAAATTGTGTAATATAAATTATTTAATATAGAAATGTAGTTACGGAAGTGAGAAAACATTTTTTTAATGTATTCTACAGAAAAAAGTAATTGATAAAAGATATGAACTTACTTTCCTTATAATTTCGTAGCTAGGAGGTAGTTTGTTCTTATCTAAAGTGTTGATTTCGTAAATGTTCTTACCATCCTAAACATTTAATTTAACAACATTTAACTATTTATATAATTTGTTATTGTTATTAATTATATCAATTTATATTTACCTTTACAAAATTTGGAGCAACTCCCGAATAATCACCCGAAATACCATTATAATCTTCATCGTCCCAAACATAATCATAACCGGAACCAGAAATGTCCTGAAAATCGTTACGATTTACCACATATTTCATTGATTTACTGGTAACATTATAAATGCAAATAATTATGAAGATATATATAACTTTCCTCATTTCTCAGTTGTTAAATTTTGTACTAGATTAAATTGTTTCTTAAGTAATGTGATTTATAAATGAGTATGATTTAACCTTATGTCACAATTTAAACCAAAACTTAACAAACGAACTTCCTTCTTTAATTTTTTGTCGGTTTGATAAGATAACATTTAGTCATTTTTATTTTAAAAAAATTAGTTTTGGCCAGGAAATTAATTATTTTACTTCAGTAATTATCACCTTTTTGATAATATAAAACTTTAAACGTTTAACCCCTTTATGGGGCAATCTGGACCAGGCAAGCGACACACTAGGAATTAAGTTTGAGAGGTCTTTCCTAAAAATGCAGATTCCCTCATTGCTTAGTCGTCCCAAATGTAGACCTCTCGAAATCCCCAATTGTATAAAAAGTATTATTAGCGCCCACATATCGGAAAGGGTTAATCGGTTATCTTCAATTTAAAGAAGGAAGTAGGCAATTAAAGAGTAAATCAGGAAGCCAAAACTAATATTACTTTATAATCACTTTTATCTAAGTAAAAAATATATTTATACTGTATATAAATTCTTACATTAATATTTTGTATGTATTTAATAATTTATTGTAAAAATTTATTTATTTTTTTATCAGGAAAGTACTCATCAGTTTATTTATGTTACATTTCACATGTTGGGTTGATATGTTTGTATGGGTACTTCTATGTATTTTGTGATATAAATAAATGACATAATAAATAAAATTAAATATTTATTATCTTAATATATTATCTTAATAAATAACTTATCGTTATTTATATTTTTCACACAAATAATTTTTCTTATCTGTGAAATTACTTAGCAAAATTATCAATATTATTTGATATAAACAGATGAAAGTATGCAAGTACGGCTTACAAATAAGTGTAACTTGTATGCAGGCTTATACACAGAGCCGTAGCTAGCCATTCCTGTGCCCTGTGCAAGAATTTGCATTTAGGCCCCTTAATTTATTTGGTTTTGTGAAAATAATAAAACAAATATATTACAATAAATTTTTAATAAGATTTATTTTAATTCAATTTTTCTGGCTTTCATTTCAGCAAATTCATTAATTAAACCTTCATAATTAATATTTTTAACGATATTGGATAATAGAAATATTGGATAATCGTTCTTGTCCGATAGTTGATCTTAAATAATTTTTTATTAAGTTTAACTTGCTAAAACTTTTCTCGCACGAAGCAATAGAAACGGGAAGAGTTAGAAATATTCGAAGAGCGACATTGATATTTGGGTAAGACTCAATTAAACCAAAATCATGAAGAGCCTGTAGAATATTAAGCGGAGATGCAGTTTCTATATTTTGTATAAGAGTCGTTACTTCAAAATTAAAACTTTCAATTTCACTTGTGAATTCGTACTTTTTTAAATCTTTGCTATATTTAATAGCGAGATCTGCAGCCGATTTTTTTAAATCAGCAACACTCATGTATTGTAAAGACGAGCCACAGAGAAAGCAAAAATCGTCACAGATAGTTTTCATTTTTTCATAACGCCAATCTATTTGACACAATAGAGTGTCAAGAACACTGTAAATTTGTATTTTAAATAATTTTTCGGGTGTCAAGTTACTTCCTTCATCTGGTGTTTTATCTACTTCCATTATCTTAACTCTTTTTTTTTTTTCGTTTAATAAGAAATCCCTTTTCTACACTTTTTGGTTTGTTTTAAGAATATGATCAATAACAGCATCTGTTAATATTGTTGGCCATAAAGCTATATCATTTATTACTTCCATGTATCTATATAAGTTATATCGAAGCGTTTTTTGGACTATTTCTATCTCCTGTGTTTTCACAATTCCTTTCTACAGTAGCATTTTAAAGAGTGCGGAAGCCCTTTCGGGGCCCTACACGCCCGAAAGTTCGCTTACCGCTTAATCCGTCGTTCAGGTATACACCACATATACGTACCACTATAAAGCAAAAAATGATGTCAAAATTTCTGCACGCCTTTTACAACCTCGAGACTAAAATTTTATTCGGGAGTTACCGTTTTCAATTTAGTAATTAAAAAAAAATCTTCGGGCAGATTTATTTTCGTTACAAAATGTTACCTTTACAGATTTCTAGCTCTTCACACTGTAGAAAAATCTAGAAATACAGTAGACCCTCTATAACGCGGGTTCCTATAACGGAGATTCCTATAACATGGCGAAAAAATTGCGACAGTATTCGTATAAAGACACTAAAAGGGACTCGTAAAACGTCGTCGCCGACTCGTGTCGCGACAGCATTGGTCGAATCTGGACCAATAGTGGACGAGCAGACGAACTACTTTCCGCCGTCCAGCACCACGCTACGGAGAGTTTAGGCGGGTAAATTGAGTTTACTATCGTCTGTACTGTATTATATATAAATTATATATAAATTAGGTACTGTATATTATAATTATATAACTTAATTTATTGTAACTTTATTATAATTATATATATACTTTCCGCCGTCCAGCATCACACTACGGAGAGTTTAGGCGAGTAAGTTATTACATTACTCGCCTAAACTCTCCGTAGCGTAAACTCTCAAGTACGTAAATTAGGTACCGTAAGTCTAATACAGCACTAATTTTATACATTTCTTGTGAAAGAAACATTTCTTATTCAACGCCATAAAAATTATTTCTATTAATGATGTCTCCAAAGTTCAACGAAGTTTTCGCAGAAAAATAACTTATCAGAAATCGCGGCCGCAGTTTGGTGCGCTGTTCCGCAACGAAAACAAGCTTAAGCAATGGCGACGTCGAACGGTGCACACTCGGTAAGTAATCCTACAATTTTTTGGTTATAGCATAGTTTATATAGATTATTCCCAAAAAATTATACGTGTTTTGGAAATGTTGAGTCGAATTAGTCTAGAATCGATTAATTTTATGGAAGAAAACCTTTCAAACAGCCTTAGTCCGTAAACTTCACACGTGTCGGGCTGCGATTGTCTCATGTATTTAAGGATGCATTTAATGTACGAATAAATACTAAATGAAATGAAATGAATGAATGTTCATATACATTGCAGATATCGTTAAAAACTAATTATAATGTCTTTCAGGTACATTAAGTATATATTATTGTAATTGTAATGTGTTTTAGGTGCTTAATACACCTGAACGACATTACATTACTTGTATTAAGAACGTACTTTTTGAGGTTATTTTTATCTTTTTAGTCCATTCAAAGAGGAACAGCGAATAAATACCGACGCTTTATGCCCGGATTCTTCAATAATTAGAGCGAGAAACAGAAAAAAAAATTAAATAGAAAAACTTGTGAAATTGTCAAAAAAGCCTTTTTCTCTTACTCATGACAAAATAATGCGCAAAAATTTTATTACAATACTTTTATTCGGATAAAGGCATAGCATAAATCCATGTAATTATAAAGAATTAATAATATTCACAAACGTAAGGTCCAATATCACTTACATGCACTTGTGAGACGTATATGCTATCACAAGCAGAGGCTTCGTTTTTATATACAGCAGTAATAATTAATTTCTTATTTTAAAATTTTCCACATAATATTCACTCCTGCAATTTCGGAGGTGTTACAAGTTCTGTATAGCATTGATACGAACTGCTAATAACTTTATACAGATATTACCTAATTACTGTTCCATTATGCATATATTGCAAATAACCAATTACGAAACAATAGTTATATCTTAATTGGTGCATTAGCAATTGCTCTCAATATTCCTGATTGTAATGCCACGATGTACTATTAGTTCTTCAGCCATAAATTTAATTCTAATACATTATGTATAATATCTCACTAGTTGTATATTCTTTAGCATAATGACACAATTAAATTGAAATTTAATTCTTTTAAACGGATATATTTATGAGAGGTAATATGAGAAAATATTAGTTTATGATAGCCTAATCTTTATTGCTCGTTATGAAATCGCAGTATAAGAAAACAAGTCAGTAATCAATTTATTAACAATATTACTATATTACTTCGTCAGCCAGATAGTAAAGTAACTTTCTTTGCAACAAAATATCTGTAAATATATATATATATATATATATATATATATCATACTTGTGAGTCGTAAACTCGAATATCTCATTATTTTCAATATAAAATAGTCTATTAAATAACAATAATTACCATTTACCTGTCAGCTTGGATTATAATATTTGTAAAAATAAACAGTGATGCAGGATTCGGATCTTTTCGAGATTGTTGTTTCAAATACCAAACTAAAATTTCTAAAACTGTTCGGTGTAATTAATTCCATAATAGATTCTGGAAGAGTAACTTTCCTTGAGAGAGCTTAACATTGTTTTATAAGAACAGTATTTACTTATAGTAACATAAATATATTTTAATTTTTGCTACTTAAAGGAGAAGATAGAATCTATTTTACAGGAAATATCGTTGAATTATTCGGAGAAGATTTTGAAATATTTTGCTACATGGCTTTTTTCTTTTACAATTTACATTTGTTTAGCTTAAGAGTTGTTTTACCGTGAAGAATTCGCCATTAATTTAAATAAAATTTATCTGAAATTATCCAGAGTAATACAATCCAACAGTTCAAAATTATTTAATCTTCAGCATAAAATTAGAGAATTCGCATGCATCTCTTTTATATTTTTTACATGATCTATTTCTGTGCACTGGAATTAGCATTTTCTTTAATTATAACTAGAAAAATTGCTCATATTGTAATATTTCATTTATGTATAACACTACTAGAAATAATATTTGGAATTGGATTTTTGCTTATTTTACCTTTGATTGCTCTTGATGTTTATATTTTTGCAGAAAACGAGTTGACAACTTTAAATATAAACGTACAGAATAGATTAGTTGAAACAAAAGCAGTTCATATTCATACAATTATCACCAGACACGTTGATTTATGTGATATTTTGTAAGATTTAGGTAAAATTGATAATAATGTTGTCGATTTATATTATTTATTTCAATTCACCATAACTGCATTTTGTATATATGGGGGCATTTTTAGTGAAGGAAATGAAATTATTAAGTGTCTCTTTTTATTTGTTGGAATATTCACTATATTAATTTTCTCA